CTTGGTGCTCGCATTTACCCCTCTTTGCCATCTTCTTTTCTTGCTCTCCAGTCTCCTCTCTCTGTCCGTCTCCAACTTTTCCAAGAATAGGAATGGGTGTCGTCAACCGCAACGTTCACACCCATACAGAAGTTCCTAACCCTACAGGCCTGCTGCCCGCACCGGGAAATGGACCGAAAAGAGTGAAGGCTCAAAACATTGGACGATGCAGGTAGCGGAAACGGCCTTGTCAGCTTTCTCCTCCTGCACCGCAACCACCACTACCGCCTCAGCACCTGGGAATGCCTGCCTTCGACTCGTTGCTGAAACGGAACTATTGGCCCGGATCGATGGTGTTGTCGCCGTGCGGGGTTCATTCCATGAGGATTGCGATTCTTTTCTGCTCGTCGCTCTCGACGCTTCGGTCACCGGTCACCACCTTCTTGATCCATCTTACGGCTCGACGCACCCCTAGCCTGGAGGCCCCCGGCCTGGGTCCCCCCCCCCCCTTGGGCCCTAGGATCTCCTTTCCCGTCATTCTCTTTTTATTTTCTGCGTTTCTTACCGCCGGCTCCCACCCTGCGATAAGCCTAAATCGGGCACGAGGGCCCAAGAGGGCTTGTCCAGAGGGGTTCTCTCTCCTCGCATGCAACGAGAGCCTGGCCGCGGGTCACGGATGGCCGTCGCGAACCTGGCTGCTACAACCTATTACAGTCATATTCCTTCCACACCGAGGGATGAAAGCTGCAATCAACTAACATGGCACCCACCCCTCTTTCCATTAGATCTATTTGAGGCAACGATATCTGGTTAGACTGGGTCCGTAGCTACGGACGTCTTTCGGAGACCTGTCGGTAAGAGAAAGAGGTAGTTATGTAAATGATGTGTCGGTGATGGAAGAGGATGGTGAAAGAGAGCAATAGTCGTGGCATACGGGGGCTCTATTTCTAGTTTGAGAAGCAACGGAGGCGATCAATGCGCGGCTGACTTGATGGTGATACAAGGGCCTGGACTTGGCAGCGGGAACTGAGTAATCCGATTATGTTTGGACGAGAGCTTTCTGGAGTAGCTGGCATGGATACCCTTTCCGAGCCCAGTTCTGTCTGTAAACTTTGAGTAGGTTACCTTGACTTCATAGACTCTGAGCAAAAAAAAAAAGAAAAAATGGCTTTTGTCTGATGGCAGTGGGAGACATAGTATCAAAGGTGGGAACAGCGTCAGAAAGCCAAAGAGTGAAGGGGCGAGATTTGGTTTGTTTCTAGACATCATAGACTTTGCTGCCAAGAATAATGAAATGGTATTATTGACTGATCAACAATTTCTGTCGACAAATGAGATGATGTTTTTGTCCCCTGGCTGTAGATGTTTCATCGCCCAACGAAACAAAATGCCGCCAGAGCACAGACGATGACCGAGGGCAAAGGACTCAGCCACCTCGTTCCCGTTTCCAATGTTTCCATGCGTAATGTTTCCGTTCCGTGTTGTTGTATGACCATCAGAGTTCCTCCGTCTCAGTCTGAACATCCTCAGCATCGACGCTAGTGTCCTTGGTGATCTCGTCCTTCTCGGCGCTCTTGACCTTGTCCCAGAATTTCTCTCCAGCATCGGGGTCGTTAGCGAAGAGGTGGTCGACGACCAGCTTCTTGGGCGTCTCGCCCATCCACTGGAACAGGGAGAAGTCTCTGAATTCGTCGGCGCGGAAGATTTCGAGCATCTCGAGGGGTTCGTCGCCAATGTTCTCCACAAAGTGACCCATGTTCTTCGGGACGATGCCAACGTCGCCTGGCACGTAGTCGAATGTCCTGGCGTTTCCTTCTGAGGCGAAAATCGTGACTCTGGCGCGACCCTTGATGAAGAAGGACCACTCGTCGGCGTTAGGGTGCCAGTGCATCTCACGAAGGGCGCCGGGCTCGATGATGGCGTGGGCAGCAGCAATGGTCTTTGAGATGGGGAAGTTCTTAGAGTCGGTTACTCTGACTTCGCCGCCAGAGGTCTTCTTGGGTTCCTGCGCGAGCATCTTGTGCGTGAACTGGTGCTTTGATTTCTTGACGCCTTTTCCGTCAGGGGCCTCGTGGCTGATGGAGCCGGGTGTCGTTCCTTGGAAGATGTACTTCTCTCCCTCGGGGATGTTTGCAAAGACCTCGGGAGCCAGCTTGAAGTTCTTTGAGATGACAGACTTGGGGGTGTGTGCTGTTGTATTATCAGTCAATCTGAAGTCTTCTTGTCTCTCGGTGGCACCATACCAAGCCAGTCCGTAAGGATGAAAGTAGACTCCTCAGAAAAGTGTCCGTCGTCGAAGATTAAGAGAAACTCGGTTCCGTTCTCGCCGAGCCCTTGAAGGGAGTGAGGAACACCCGAGGGGAAGTACCTGGCCACAACTATTTAGCATGAGGAAAAGAAGCAGAAAACAATTTCAAACAAACCAGAGATCGCCTTTTTGCACGTCATCGATAAAGTTGCCTCCCTCGTAGTCAATGGCGGTGATACGGCAGCTGCCGTCAAGGACGTATGCCCATTCAGCTTCCTTGTGCCAGTGGAGTTCGCGAACGACCCCCTCGTCTAGGCGCATGTTAACACCGGCCAGCTCGATACTAGTAGGAAGCTCGCGAATCGTGGTTTGTCTAGTCCAACCACCCTCCTACAAATAGAACTAATTAGTACCATTAAGCTACAACGGAACCTATGCGGAAAAACGGACCTCGATGCGAATGTGAGAATCAGCAAAACTCCAACGCATGTTGGCAAGATTGCCGTGATCAGTGCCTGGAGGTCGAACGAGATCCGGGTTCTGTCTGGATCGAGCCTCGTTCCAAGGACCGAGAACAGAGGCTCCGAGGCCATTGCGATATGGCAAGGGATCGAGCTCGTCGCCAACGGAGTCGATGGGACTATCGTACTTGTCCCTGTGGCCAGGAGTGTAGGGAGGCGAACCACTGCGGTACTTTGTAGGAAGACCCTTGCCGTCGAGGAGGCGCTGGCGAGGACTGTCCTGGACAGGCACGGCGAGGGTCGGAGCGATGAAGCTCAAGACAGCTCCTGACAGGAGCAGCGGGAGATGCATGATGGTGGTGGGAAGCGTGTAAGAAGAGGATGTCAGGAAGAAGGAGCTGCAGGTGATCTGTCTTTCATTATGATAAAGGTAAATTGTCCGCGCTGGCTTTTATATTCCACACTTTGTAGCCAAGACGCGAAGATCCTCGGTCCTGAGCTGGGAAGATTTCGGAGCTCGAAGCTCGGAGGAGTTCCTGATTGACCAATGGCCATACGGTTTCGAACCCCTGGCAAGCTGTCTCGACGAGTTACACTGCTATCGGAGGCCATACTGAGGTTCGGTAGTGTGGTCGACCATAGAAAGCCTGCCTCCGAGTGAATGCCGACGCATCTCCGCATACCATGGGTCGAGGACCTCAGGACATGGAGCTATCAATGATGTGAGGTGAGGAGGAGGAGGAGCTCAACCGAGCGCGGCGAGGTGTCGATGCTGCGGGGTACCGCTGTAATCGGCGCTGCCCAGGCCCCCTTTACCCCAAGCTCCGACCCCTGTAAGCGGTAAATGATTGGAGGCCACTGCGTGTCATTGGCGACCTGGGCTGGTCTTTTGGCATGTTGGACGGCACCCGAGCAAGAGTGGTAAAGCTTGGCTGATTCTGCAACGATTGTGAAGGGGGTGGAATGTGAAGAGCAAGTGGAAGATGCAGAAGACGAGTAGAACAGTACTGTGTAATTGATTATTGCATCAAAACGATGACGCGTCGTACAAATGATGTTTCGCTTTGTTCACACTGCTGGATTTGTGCATAAGTACATACGAAAAGAATTTCTTAAAGGCAAGACCACCTCCCTTAAGGTGAGGTGCCTGCCGTGCCTGCCTACTTACGTATCTGCCTTCCTTCCCTTCCTTGGCTTCGGTCACGTTACCTCGCTTGCCTGTGGCTTCACTTTGGAAAATGTCACCCGCCTCTTTCTCTTGGCCTGGATGTACATACCCTGAAGTCTTCCAATGTGCATTGAGAATAGAGCAAGGAGTCCGAGTCTTGGCATTCATCAACATGATCATTCATTGAATCATTCTCTTGGTAAATGATGATAGGGTTCATATGGCACATGGGAAGGGTGTTTGCCTACTGCACTAAAAGTACCGAGGCCTCGATGCAAACTAGCCATGATAAGCCTCCTTGATGAAATTTCAGTCGGATCCAATTTTTCAGTCTTGAATGATGTACGTGATTGAATATACAACAGTAAGAAAATACTTTCCTTATGAGAAGATCTGATAACCGATGAGGAAACATCAATGTATTCTCTCAGCGGCTTAGGATCGAGTAGGTTGGTTAAGGGAGCAATACATCAAGAATTCAAGCACTGTGAGAACTGAAAATGATAGTATGTGACAAAAACTGTTCGTCAAACTCTCCAACATGAAGTAGGCTCGTGGGAGTCAGATGTTACAACTTGCTGACACACTTTCAGCTCCTGATCCAGGGAAATTGGACAGGCTTGATACATGCTGTGTACTATACATGATGAACTCGTACATTTACCTTAGAATGACGAAAACTTGCTCTTATTGCTTAAAGTTCTCACTAAACTAAAACATGACAATATGTATCAAGTGCTCTATTTGTCAACACCGGGTAAATGCGTTGGTGTTTTGCATGATACTGAACTCTTATCTGGTAGATACTGAACCAATCTCGTACATATAAGAACGAACTGGCTAGAGATACAGAAGAGAAATTTAGCGCTTCAAATAACACCTCGACTGAACCCGAGACATCAGCATTCTGTAGCCTCACATAGGGTCAGCCATAGTCATGTAGACCATAAAAACTGCCTATCACGGCTTTGGCAAAGGCCCCGCGTCCATGAATTCTCACAAATGTCTTGTGATACCGTCACTGACCTTCTTTCAAAAGCAAAACAAACCATCAAAGCTTTCTTCCTCTTCTTCAAACACCTCAAAGGCAACCACCAACTTGGGAATACTTCACTTTGCCAGCAAAGGCTCCCATCAGAGCAAGATGGCAGAAGGTCTGAAGCCTGGCGTGTACGTATCAGATCCAATGTCTACAACTAATTTTCCCATAATCTGACAGTCGAGAAACACTCAAGTCCTATATCTTCATTAATGGCAAGTACTGGGTCGCGAAGGACCTCACTCTGGCCAACTTTGTCGATCTGGTGGCCGCCGAGACACGCGAATACGACTTTACCACCGCTGTTCAGGCGGCTTACAGAACCACGGTTCATGAGCCAAAGCCTCAGTCGGAAGGCTACGCGGATTTTCCTTCTTTGGCCGAAATGCGACCTCCTCCCATGATGCCCGCTGGCGCCAATGTCGACCGCAAAATCTGGGACGGCAACAATTCGAGAAAGATGAAAAAGGAAGACGAAGACTTCATGGCGGCAGCGATGACTGATGAGGAGAACGATGAGGGACCCATTGGACATCCTAAATACCACACGAATGTGATTTTGAACGTTCCTCGGGAGCCTCATCTTCTCATTTTTTTCGCCCCCTCTGCCTCGCCATGCAGTCCTGCCATTTGACGATGTCCACGCGTACCATCCAGCTCTCGCGCTGGATGACTTCGAGCACCAGCAGCATGCGCCTTTGGCCTCAATGGCCCCTTGGCACCCTAGCAACATTCAGGAGCCAGAGGCTCACCAGCATGATCGTGCCTTGGAGGCCGTCAACAACTGCATCATCGCTGGACAGCAGCCGCAGATCCTCCCTGGTCTCGACGACAATCGCTTCGATGAACACACGCCGCACTATTAGTCTCTTGAGATTGGCTGGTTTGGCTACTCTTGAAACCTATCCCTACGTCACAGGGAATGAGCAAGCATGAGATTGCAAGCAGCAATGACGAGTACGAGACGATAATGTTGGTATCAAGAAGCATGTAAAGCTTGGGATCAATGAGGCTGTGGAACAACTCGTATGAGAGCACATGTATCATTAGCACTGTCAGCAGTTTTAGCCCACGGGCATGTCTGCCAACAGAAGGAACGCTTCTGATTACTGAGCAGAAGACCTCCTACTTGCTCATTCTACTCACTGCCAGTGTATCATAGAATGTCCAGACGAAGTATGCAAAGAGGAGATGAAGCTGAGTTCTTACAGTGTGGGCATTCGATCGACGAGGTCATGACATGACACATGACATGAGAAGATATAAATTGGATTGCCACGTGGATTACTAGTATATCTATATTTTGTGCGCCTCGTTTTGGTAGACTAACGTGCCTTAGATGAAGTCGACTTCATCAAGACAGTGGCCCAGTATATAAGCTATGCCATATATTGAACCATGGGGGCTTTGCGAACTCGTTTACAAGTAGGCAAGAGCACCAAGAGCGAGAGCAGCCAGGAGGCCAACGGGACCCTGAGTAGCAGCACCGTTGACGGTGACGGGGGTAGCGGTAGCAGTGGCAGTGGAGGTCCCGTTGCGAGTGGTGGTGGCGCTCGTGACAACAGCAGTGCGAGTGGTGCCAGCGGCGGCGGACGAGGCAGCGCTCGTGACGGCGCGGGAAGCACTTGAAGCGACGGAAGAGGCGGCGGAAGCAGCCTTGCTGGTGGCAGCAGAGGCAATGGAGGAGACGGCAGCGGAGGCTGAGGCAACGACGGAAGATGCAGCGGCAGAGGCCGAAGCGACGACCGAGGAAGCGGCGGAAGCAGGGCCACCACCTCCAGCGACGGCGGCGCAGATCTTGCTAGCGGCGGGGAGGACCTGGTCTTGAGTGCCAGAGTTAGGATCATGTCGAGTTAGACAAGGGCTTTGGTGATGAACTTACTGACGGCAACGTCGGCACCGCAGCTAGCGAGGACGCAGGGAGTACCGGCGGTGACGATAGCCTGGTAGTTGGCACCGCTGCAGAGGCAGGAAATGTCACCAACAGTGCACTTCCCGTTGGAGGTGACGGCGTCGGCCAAGCACTTCTGGGCACAAGTAGGGACGTCCGCCAGAGACTGGGCGGCGGCGAGGCCAGCGAAGGCGATGATGGCAGCTGTGAACTTCATGTTGACGGTTGAGGTGATGTCGAGTGAATTGACTAGGAGTTGAGTGACTGAAACGACAGCGAAGATGTTGGTTATACCGGGTGAAGCGAGAGTTGGAATGAGCTGATGAGGGAGAAGAGAACCGGGATTCGAAAAGGTGGAAACGCCAGCTTCTCATATACACCACGGACTACCTACCTTAAGGTCACCGAAATAAACATCTGCGGGGGGTTACACCCGGTCTATTCCTAGCTCGGGACTGAACACCTTTGTCTAAGGTTGAGTGAGATGTTCCCGTGAGTATCCAGTTTCCGGGCTGGATGAGGAGCTCTGGAATGTTGCGGTTCAGCGTTTGCAGCCACGCACGTTCCCACATCCGTCCCTGAGACACACGAGGCCAATCGGAGCCTCCAATTCGTCTTCTCCAGCTCCTAGGTTCCTGTGGCGTCTAGACTAGACCGCAGCTTGTTGAGAGGTGTGCCTGACCGGGTTCAAGCCGGATTCAGCAGCTTCATGGTGGCGCCGAGAGCATCCGCCTATTTTGGTGTTGAGCGACACGGCGGGAATCCATGGCTTTCTCTGGAATCCTTTACCTCTTGCGTCTCGGTTGAGGTGGGAGTAGGTAACACAGATTGCTGCCGAGGAGAGCTTTCATGGGCGCTGCGTCATTGATCTACCTTGAGAGGCCTTGAGTTCGACGGAAAAGATGAGGAGGTTATGACCTCACAAGAGCTCTAGAAGAATTTACGAGTATTGACGGAGCAAACTGCATGGCGTTCATCTTATTACCTAGGTAGGGTGCCCCCCTCAAAGTTACCCACAAGGTGCACAAGGTGGTGGACTGGATAGGTAAGACAGTAATAAAAGCTTAACATTCTGGATCCCGCGGGGAAAAGAGAGAAACATACAGGGATGAAAATTTGACAGTCCATCTGATAAGTCTCAATAATGGGCACCCTGTCTGTCATCGTACCGAGAAAGTAGGAGAGGAGATTTTTTCGCCGAGCCGAGAATGTGGTAAACTTGTCAGAACACCAAAGACGCTTATCGTGAACTATTGGACCTGAATCTCCACGAGGTATGGCGTCGGCCAATCGGTTGACGTCTCTCTTGGCGGACACGGCCTGGGTCGACTAAGCGCGGTGACGGAGGCAAAGGCTTGCGCTGCCAGAACCAACAAGTCGGTTCATATTGACTAAGAAATAGTTGTTGCTCTAATATCTCCGGAGGAGCCACGTTTTTTGAGCTAGTCGATGGCGCCCCAGAGGACGTGATGGGCCGTGGCAATCTGACAGGTTGGGGGGCTGGGAACTACGACTACGGCACGAGCACGGCGTCAGGGGGATCCAATAGATGGCAATAATGATTACCTGATAACCAACGCTGGCGCTATCTAAATACAAGACCAAGTAACTAGCTATACGACACAAGAAGTCTACAAGATGCATGCTGTTTCGCGCCCTTGAGGGCACACCGTCTTCCAGAATCCGCCCATGCGATCCGTTACATGTCTAGTCCGTTCCGTATCCATGCCCATTCCAAATTCCACGGTGACAAAGGAGAAAGAGTAAGAGTATCAATGAAAGACCCAAGCGACGAACCGATCCATCGCATGCTATGTTGCCCCAACACAGAAAAGGAGAAGAAAGAAAACACAAAGGAAACGCTATACTCTTGCTATCCGTCCGTCCGTCCGTCCTTCGCCACGCTAATCACTCGTCATTCCCTCGCTATTCCCATTTCCACAATCTCAAAAATAAGTCGTAAGGATTTAGTCGCTCTTGTCGCCCTCGGAGTGAGAGTGCTGAGACGACGACCTCTTCATACCCCGTAGATCGCATCTTCGTATGATTTGACTGAACGTGAAAGTCAGCATAGTGTTTAGAAACATTTATAGGTGATGGGTTAGACTTACATTCCACCTCGCTCGTTGGGGTTGCGCACAACCACCAACTGCTCCTTCTTCTTATCATCATTCTTCTTCGTCTTCGTCGACGGTGCCCTCGCATGGGACGACTCTCGAGAGCGAGATTGCACCGAAGGCGTAGACAGACGTCCCCGTAGCTGACCGATCTGGTCCTTGAGGCTGTTGACCTCAGCGACCGAGGCGTCGTAGGAAGCGCGCATGCCGTCTAGCTGGGTATTGACGAGAGACAGCTGCGACGTCAAGGTCGCATTCTCCTGGCGGAGCGCAGGCGCCATGACGGCCTCCGTCTCCAATCTCGCGACGCGGGTGACGAGGTCGTCACGCTCAGCGGTAAGGGAGCCGAGCTTGACGGTCTCGGACTGCAGCTGATCGTTGCGGTCCGTTAGCTCAGCGATGCGATTGCGGAGCTCCTCCATGACTGCCGGCTCGGAGGGCGTGATAGACTCGGCGGATACGGACTCGGCCTTCTCGGAGACGGCATCGGCTCCGACGGGCGCTGCCTCCGGCTCGGGAGCTGGGGCAGGCTCAGGCTCCGCTACTTCGGGTTCGGGCTCCGGAGCGGCCTTGGAAAGCTCAGAGGGTGCCGCTGAGGTGACGCTGGCGGTGTCGTCTTTGACTTCCTCAGGTACCGGCGCCGGGGCATCTTCGACAACCTCAGCCTCTTCGATGACTTCGATGACGGGGACCGCAGGAGGCTCCTCCACTGGGGGTGCGGGGGGTGCTTCCTCGGGCGCCGGGGGAGCTGGAGGAGCCTCTTCGGGAGGGGGCGGAGCCTCATCATCCTCGCCCTTAACAGTGTCTGTATCGCTGTCATCTGCCGAGCCGATGACGGACGGGGCGGCGGAGCCGATAACTGAAGGTGCAAGTGAACCAGGGAGAGAGCCGGCGATAGATCCCATGAGTGACTCGGCACGTCGGAGCTCGCTAGTGACGGACTCATTCTCGTCCTTGAGCGACTCATTCTCCGAGCGGAGTATGTCACGTTCCTCTGCGAGACTAGAGATCTGAGACATCTTGTCGTCTTGGTCCTTGAGAAGCTCGCCGACCTGTCCTTGGAGTGTCGTGTTCTTGCCCTTGAGCCCTTCGATGCGGGTTCTGAGCTTGTCGTACTTGGTCTTGAAGCCCGCGAGGTCCTTCACCTGGGTCTCGAGCTCACCCTTGCTGAGCTCAAGCTCGCCCTTGGTGGCCTCGAGACTCTCAAAACGGATCTGGATGTCGGTGTTGGTGGTCTCGAGCTGGGTAAGGCGGACCTCAACCTCTTGCTTCTCGACTTCAAGTGCGCCAAAGCGGGTCTGAATGTCGTTGTTTTCGGTGTTAAGCTTCTCCATGTCGGCTTCGAGGCCCTTCTTCTCGGCCTCAAGGGCATCGAAGCTGGCTTGGGCGTCCTTCTTCTCTGCCTCGAGCTTCTCGATGTTTGCCTCGAGACCCTTCTTCTGTTGATCGAGGTCGTCGATCCGTGCCTCCAGACCCTTTTTGGCCTCTATCAGGGCGCCGTTCTCCCGGTTGAGTTCATCGACTTGGGGCTTGTACTTGTCGACCTCCATACGGAGAAGGTCACGCTCGGCGGTGATGTCGCCAATCTCAGTGCCCTTGCGGATGAGTTCCGTCTCAAGTCCGGTGGCACGGATCTCCATGGTGTTCTTAATCATCTCGAGAGCGGCAATCCTGTTGATGAGGGATTTCTCAGTCTCCTTGGTGACAAAGTGAGCATCGCCGACGCTCCTCTCAAGGTCGTGGCATTGGGCCTCAAATTTCTTGGTGAGCTTCTCCTGTTCGGCAAGAAGCTTTTGCTGGTCAACGAGATCTTTCTCAAGTACTGCATTCTTGGTGGTAATCTCTGTCTTGGCTTCCC